ATCTTATCTGCTTTAAATGGTTGGAATTTAAATTGCCAAAAAAATCATGTTGGTAAATTGCCGTTTTGAGGGGCAACATCACTTGATGCTGAACTGTAGTACACCTGTGTTGGTACCAGATGAGTGGTAAAGGTTAAAGGTTAAGCAGATAAACCAATTTCTATCAAATACCAGCACTGGTATGTGTACAGATTTCACACAACAACAAGACAAATGTTGTGTTAATTGTTATATCTAGACAGATATATAACACATATAACCATTTAAATCATGTTAGTTGTCAAATATAACTATAATTTTATACATGGATATGAATGGTAAAATTAATGTATATGTATATATATAGGCTTACTAAATTACCAAACACGACTTTTCCGAATTTGAAAAATTGCTTTTAAATTTTGACATATATACTATGAAATAACAAGAGCTCAATTGATGACGTTCAATACCTATTCACACCAGGACAACTTGTATGAAAATGAATTTGGGCTGAATTTCACATTTTAGGAATAGGCCTAAATGGGTATGAGCAAAATTAGTAAACTTACAGGACAGAGCGCTTTACAGTGACAAGGTCGGCCAGAGGTCAAAATAAAAGACAATCTATTTTACTTCATTTAAGCTTGCTAAGTCGTGGTTTTAATAGGCATTATTTTTTTCTCGAGATCTTTCGCCAAGGTTGCCAACATAAAGAATTTACATGCACATGATATAGTTTAAAAATCTAAATTGAGAAATTTAAATCTGCTTTTCATCAGTTTTAAGCCTACACGTTAATGTATTTAATGCCACTCTTTAAACACCCTCCTGTTTTGTGTAAAACACAAAATTTTCAATTATTCAAAGTAAATAAAAACACAAGATGCAGTAAGCTATGTTACCTTTAGTGTGTTTACAATATTATCAATGCCATATGTATAGGATAATATTAACCTATATTTAATTTATATTTTAAATAAATAAGGTGCGAGCATTTTAACATTCTATTAGTTCAAAATTAAATAAACTATAGTGTAGTTGGATTAGTGTGGTGCCATTTGAAATGATTCTACTGAGTTTCAAAACATCATTACACAAAAATCGTTAGTTTAGTTATAGGTTTGTTTCTGTTAAATTTAAGGAATTGAATTCTACAACTATTCATTCGTTATAACTTTTCAGCAAAATCAAATTATACCAACTATGTGACAAACCATTGTGAGAATATTTCTATTGATCATCACACCAAAATAGTTTGATCTTCTCCATCAGCACTTCTCTTTGTAAACGGTTGTAGCAAATCGTCCCCATCATGCAGCACTCATGTTTGTAAAAGGTTGTAGCGAATCACACCCATCAGCAATCATCTTTGTAAACGGTAGTAACGAATTGCACCCATCAGCAATCATGTTTGTAAACGGTAGTAGCGAATTGCACCCATCAGCAATCATCTTTGTAACCGGTATTAGCGAATCGCATCCACCATCAATCATCTTTGTAACCAGTAGTAGAGAATTGCAACCATCAGCAATCATCTTTGTCAACGGTAGTAGCGAATTTCACCCATCAGCAATCATCTTTGTAAACGGTAGTAGCGAATCGCATCCATCAGCAATCATCTTTGTAACCGGTAGTAGCGAATTGCACCCATCAGCAATCATCTTTGTAACCGTTAGTAGCGAATCGCATCCACCATCAATCATCTTTGTAACCGGTAGTGGCGAATTGCAACCACCAGCAATCATCTTTGTCAACGGTAGTAGCAAATTTCACCCATCAGCAATCATCTTTGTAACCGGTAGTAGCGAATTGCAACCATCAGCAAATCATCTTTGTAACAGGTAGTAGCTAATCGCATCCATCAGCAATCATCTTTGTAAACGGTAGTAGCGAATCGCATCCATCAGCAATCATCTTTGTAACCGGTAGTAGTGAATTGCAACCATCAGCAACCATCTTTGTAAACGGTAGTAGCGAATTGCACCCATCAGCAATCATCTTTGTGAACGGTAGTAGTGAATCGCATCCATCAGCAATCATCATTGTCAACGGTAGTAGCGAATTGCAACCATCAGCAATCATCTTTGTAACCGGTAGTAGCGAATTGCAACGATCAGCAATCATCTTTGTAAACGGTAGTAGCGAATTTCACCCATCAGCAATCATCTTTGTAACCGGTAGTACCGAATCGCATCCATCAGCAATCATCTTCATATCGGGGATTTCTCAACGTATGATCCTTCGTTAGCCCACATGGTGCAGAAAAGTAGGACGTAAAACTCTTTTCATTTCATTTTATTTCAACGTATAATCAAAGTTCTGGCAGCATATAGTTCAAGTCAGTATTATTATCTGACCATGTTGGTGATATTTTAAATACAGTAGTTACATTATTATAACCATCGCATCTTATCCTTTCCATCACTACCTAAGATTCTTCTATTTCAGGTAGTAGTAAGCATCGTTCAATTTATCAAACCCCGTCTGAGATTGCTGGTGCGGTACATTGATTGATGGTTGACTTATAATTAGTTATATAACTGATCGACTGACGGACAGATACTGATTAAACGTTACTATAAATAGTTACCAATATTCAATACTTGATTCTTTATGGTACAGTAAAAATACCCAATTACTTCTAATGAGGACAGATTTTTTTTTTAAACTAGTCTACTATAAACCAATCACTCATTGAACTTTCATATTTCTATCATTTATTTTTAGGAATATTGAGATATGCAACTTATAATACCAAAAAATATCGTTACTTTCTTCCAAGTATAATGACGTCACAAATCGTGTTTCCTGATGAATTAATTTTTTGTTAGAAATCTTGAAATAAATAGAAATATAGAATTAACTTGCCATTACTTTTAGTTATGTTTTATATTTTGATGGACATAATTGTTCAAGAACTTGTTCAAATCCTATCTTTCCTGCTCGGTAATAGTGCTTGAAAATAGGGTAATTTCTGGTCTTCAAAGGTCAACAGACGTGATTCAATTTGAAAAACGTTTTTAGTTGAAACACGTTAAGCTTTTCATCCAGAGAAAATTAAAGAAACGTTTTTCTCCGATTAAATTGGTTAAATGGAATTTGATCAAATTATCCACTTTTGTTTCTTCCATGAAAAAGAAAATGAAACTTGGCGAAAGGCGTTAAGTAGACTATTTCATTTAGAATTGAAATGAATAAAGTATCGGTTCGTGCTCTAACATACACTCTGCTTGCTTTAGAAAATTTAAATACATAGAGCAGTGTATATGTTATGATTCCATTACAAGATGGTTAATGATAATATTTGGTCTGGGGAATATCGGTCTATAATAAATACTTCTGTATATAGACTTGACTATACCATAATAAATTTACGTTATTAACAGTAGGCCTGTGAAATTTGGGAATCATGGCTTTTAAAACTTGACTTGACTTCTACTCTTTTGCCAAAACAGAAAAAGTCGTTCAATTCTGCAGGTGAAGTACAATCAAGTACATCGTTAACTAATTTGATAACATCTCGTCAGATGATTTCATCTGAACTATGTTTCAATGTGAATTAAGTCTCAAGATAAACAGATAACCTCTTTAATGACTAGAAATCTGTGTTGAGATCAACCTTTGGAGCAATTCCCGCCAAGATTAATCAAGTCTATTACATCAATTAACAGATTACTGTCAATTTTGTCGGTAAACATTCTCCATACTTGTCTAATATAAGTAGTTACTATCGGATGTAATTTGTATATATCGATGTGAACTTTAAATCTTTGAACATATTTTAGTACTTGTCCATGTACATAAAATAGCTGCTTATATCGTCTTACAAACGAAGTTTGCAGACTTCCAGAACTCAGATACCATTTGCAAAACTTGTTGCATAAGTTGGTTTCCAACTAGACACCCTCTTTGGCGATTCAAAGAGTTGATATGATAATTATCGCTGGCTGATAATTTTAAGAAGTTTTACTTTATATCCACACTGGGATGAGGTGTGGGTATAGTAGAAAGGTCGGGCGGTATAAGACGTATTTCTGTAAGAGAAAAAAAATCAAAAACACCTTTAATAATTGTAATGTTCCGGATATTAGATTTGATTGCTCATTTTGATCATACTATAGTACAGAAATGGCGGAAACATAAATAAATCATGGTAGGATTATGACGTGTTAATTTATATTGAATGTGAGTATTTATAATTGAACTTGGCACTTAAACAGAATAACAAACTTGATAGAGGTCTTCTAAACATCTCGTATAAACTTCACCCAATCTTATACGAGGGAAGACTGAAAAGTTTTCGTTCTAAATGTAGTAGAAATACTAATATCTGATGATGCTGGTACGCCGTTGAGGTTACTTTACTATGCTGAAACATAGGAACTGAAGCTCTTGTGCGTATTATGACTTTAAAAGGGGCCAATAAAACTAGTTTTATCAGGGATGTGATAATTTGTTAGAGAAGAGTAACTTGCTTTAGTAATTTCACAAGTACAGTGGAAGGTTAAAACTTATCGGATATCCCTCCTTCAGGGTACAATTAAAATATACACTAAACCAAGCCCGATTAAGATTACTGTTTTCTTGCTAGAACCAATTAAATTCACATTTATTGTTTACAAGGTATCCAATATGTTGATACTATTACTAGCATGAAACGACAAGACCCTTAACAGAATACTTGTACCTAAAACATACGGTATCTAAATGTATCCGTTTTAAACCAGAAAAATAAAATGCTTGTCTAGTGATTTCTAAGTTTATCATCAGTCCAGGAAACCTCCTAAGGTCACCACAGTTCTGGAAAATGGAATTTATCTAAACGAAACCACACCTTTGATGTCCAAGATATCGCAGTCAAGCTGACATCCTTGAATGATATCTACTTAAAATTGTCTAGGCGAATTTTTGCGTCTTAGTTGGGCTGAGCATTGAACCACCTTTATCACGGTCACCGTACAAATAATGTAAAAGTACATGGAAAAAGGATTGGTTTTATCATCACCATTTGAATCGCGATGGCAAACAAGCATTCAACCATCCAGGATGATCCTTGCCTATGTAAGGATGCATTCGGTGGTAAGTGTGTCGTAGTAGTAATAGTAGCACTGAACAACCTCTCTCAAGGCCACCGTGTCAATGATTAAGTGTAAACATTATTCCGCAGCAAGGAAGCCACATTAAACTCACGCATTTCATTCCAGTGTAATTACATCATTAATCAAGAGAGTAGAATGTGTTTCTTTATATCATGTGACAGATGCCTACTTTATTAAATAACAACAGCTTAATTAGTTTCTACATCATACCTTCACTATACTACTAAACTGTTTAATGAGCTACCTGAACTAATGTAATCAACTTTTACAGTTGGAATATCTGAATAAATTGAATATCTTTCTCTATAGATGATATCTGAATTTGTGGAATATGTACTATTTGATGTCAGACTAACTTAAATTGACTTCTCGGATGTCCTTTAATAAATTTATAAATTTTATGTTGACTAAGGCTGTTAGAGGATGCCATGCATATACTCATAGAAAAATTGGCATGCGAACTTAGTAAAACCATACGAACATGTTCATCATTCGAACTGGTTTGCTCCTTGAACTGTTATGGTATCTACATGCTGTGTGTGTGCCTGTATAATTAGAACTATTTAAAACTATGCCTGATATTATTAGCAATATCTATGAAATTAAACTCGGAATTTTGAAATGTGTAATATATCATTAGTCATTATCAGGCGCCTATTGTAGGGTGAATTTATTTGGTTGTCAGAAAGGTAAAAAAAACATGTCAGTTACTGCATTTACGGAATATGGCGGAAGTATAGGTAAACTTTGACCTTATGTAATAGATTAAATGTGAGTGTGAACAGTTCTTGACTTTTTAAAAGGAAATCTGTGAGTTTGTACCCCAACAATGTTTTTAACAACGGTGTGTTGAAGCACATTGCAGGGTGAACCCCATGATGTTAATACAGTGGTATATTGGTGGCACAAACCATATGTTTTAGTTATGTTATTTTAATTGAAATACACCCCAAGTAGAAAAATAAACCTGGTCTTTATTTTATTTTAATCATGTGATATTCTTCAGAAGAAATTCATGTATACTTTTGAAAATTGACAACAATAATTTACCTTCTTGTATGTTTGACTTTTTAAAAATTTTATGAGGCCAGCTGGAATTTGAAAAGAATTAAGTTATCATGCTAAAGGTTAGAGACTTCGATTGTTTAGCGCTTGATAAATCACGTGTAATGTTGAAATTGTCGATATTCTAAGAATATCAACTTTTTCTGCTAAAAGAGTATTAGTTGTGGGAATTTTCAAAGATGATCCCAGGTCATGATAATGAATAAAAACTAATACACGAGTTATAACTGTTAATTAAAATAAGTACACTTTTCAGATTCACCTGTATTCTTACTATCACTTGTCCTTAGAGGATATAGTGTCACATGAAACTTCGCACCTGATCTATATAATTACCAGAATCAGTTATTTTCATGTAAGAACCAGTTTTGTATGGATAAAGTATGGCAGCTTTCATCCTGAGCGTCCTTCATCCACCATGCAGCAGAGGAACCAAAGATATTCATAGTGAATAAAAACAAATACAGGAGTCCTAACTGTCAATTGCTATATATTAAGTGGCATAAGGTTAGTATTGGTCATTCGCGAGAGAAACTTGTGGCCCATCACATGAAAATGTCTGATTAATGGAATCGATCAGATTTATTGAAGAAAACCATCCCATAGTGATAGAGATCATGATAACGATCCAGGAAGTCTGTTCTTATGCCAAAATCAACATGACTAGAATGTACCAGATGTGTATGGAATGGAATGGTACCAATATTGTATCAATAGTACATACTAATAAAATAATAATATACATTCTACACTGAGGTCAGTTATTGGTGTTCAAAAAGAGTTCTATTAAAGGGATTGAATCCTATAGCGTTAATATCTACCCCTTTCATTCTAAAAACAGTCCAAAAACTGCCTCAAAGATGCTTAAACAGCCTTTGGCATTTTCGCTCGAGAGGTAATGTATATGTGTGGTAAAGGTGTCATTCTATTCACTGCGCCCTACCTTGCTTCAAAATTAATCGAACAGGAACTGTATGCGTCAGAATTTTCTTTTCATTGGCATCTGATGCAGAAAAGTAGGACGTAAAACTCAAAAATTCATTTCATTTCATTTCAATGGCATCTGTAAAAAGGATTTGCTTTACGGCACACAAATTCTCCGTAAGACTGAGAGTCAGTGTCAGCTCAAAAGTGACGTAAGTCTATCCCAACACCCAAAGACTCAAATGTACTAAATGGGGTGATGGTGTTTTATTGCAAAGAACACACTAGAACATTATACTATATTTTTTTTAAAACATCAGTCTGGAAATCTAACACATTAAAGATAAAACCTCAGAGACAATAATGTAAAAGTCGATAATCTAATTAAGAAATAGCTACTTAGCCACCAATAGAGATTTTATTTGGAAAAGTCTCCAATAACATCTTATTAGCTCACTAAGGTTGTCGTGAGCTCAAAATTATTCAAATGACGTGAAACTAGAATATAGTGTAGAAGTCCAAGAAATACAGCAAATATAACCAGAAGACTAAACCAATTTCAGAATATAAATATGAAAGTAATTATTGACTTATATACATTTTATATATACAACTTCTTACTATATAAACAATAATAAACATAACTGTCATTTTGTTATTATTTTATACTTCTACACCCATATTGACCATATCGTCCCCTACTGACCATCCCGTCCATAACTGACCATTATGTAAACACGTCCAGTAGTTCTGTAAACAAGGTATTAAATAACCATGGGAGCATCTTGTTTTGTTATTGTTAGTGCAGAAATTGATATTTTACCAGCCTAATGTCAATATTCAACATTTAGGTGTGGTCATTAAATATTCGTTCGTAGGCCTATTGCTTTAAAGCTACACTTTTGTGTAATTGATGAGGTCGATGTCAATAAGCCTATTTACCCATACGAGAGAGAATCGACAACACGTTGCATATTTTTGGCTTTCAGTGTCAGTTTCGTTCTTGTAATTAACTAGACCCATACCTATGTCTTAGTTTGTAGATCAAACGATAATGAGGTCAGTTTTGGCGGCAAAATGTCGGCCGAATTGTTAGAAAGTTGACGTCTGGTTATTGTTTGTCTAGATCATCAAGACAGAATTATTGTAAACATTCCAAGAGAAATAATAAATCAGATAAGGTGATGTAGACTCAATTTACACTCTGTTAATATGTCATCTATCACAAGGTTTGAGATTCTGGGAAGATACGTAAAAGAAAGAAAATGAACGGGTCTCACAACTTAAAGATGTCATGTCTTGGTGAATACCATCAACCAATCTGCCATTAACTGGACAATTTAAAGGCCTTACCATTCACAAATAGTCATGCTCCTATCTCTATCTTTATCTAGCCGTCTGTCCGAAGCATCTGGAACTGGCATGTGAATTGATTTGTAAGAAAATATGTAAGAATCTATAACAATGATCACTCAAGACTTTATTGGAATGGTGTGAAATCTTTTATTCCAAAGACAAACGGAAAGGATCATATTCCCAGAGCTTTTATGTTTAAGACTGTAGGCGACGACTGGTTCCTCGCCACATGTAAACCTAAGAGTTATGTTTGGTATATATCAATATAAGTAATAGTATAATAGTAATATTAGTCAACTACTAAAGGATTCCAACCAATATCATGATAATATAAGCACTCTAGGGTGTTATATCTAAGTGTTATAATGGTACTTTCATCCATGCTATCTTGACTTGAAGTATCAATGATAAGGGTATACAGAGTGTTAATGATAACCACTGAAATATAAACCAAAAAGACTGAATTCTACTGACAGCGTCCGTCTGTCTGTTAGATTATCGCAGAAATGTAAGATATTGTCAGAAAAGAAGTATATAGGTTCAAACTTGTAAATCATGTTTAAAAATTCAAATTAGGAAATAATTATCCATCAGAGATACCCCATCTGCACAATCTTCAATGTCTACACCGATATATCAACTGAAAACTTTGGTTGTCAATGTAGAAGAGGCACCGATCTTTAAATTGAAATAACAATGAGGAATTCTTTATTACTTATTAAAAATTATTTAGAATTAAAAATAGAAAGAAAAACTTATCAGGCAATCTGTGTTCTGGTTGTCTTAGATTTGGTGTTTATCCATGTTCTATTTCTATATGATATATATAGTTGAACATATTATATAAATACTATATCATGATATATAGTCTATATTTTATATTCTAATCTGTAGAACTAAGTGAACTACGCCATATGTTCTCACTCAAATGGATCAAGACGCCAATGATTCTCAGTCTCTTCTCCCATATACTTTACATTATATTGGAAGTAGTAACATGCCCAGTTGCCAAAAATTTCTACACTACACACAACTTATACGTTTCATATCCAAATTGATTCTATTTCATACAATCACCTTCGTGGCTTGGCTAAGTATTTATCCTTGGATAAAACCATACGACCACTAATGACAAATACATACAGATTATGGTTATGACTTTCTACGTACTGTATTATAAAACTGAATTTTACTATGCGGGGAGGACCAAATGAACATTTATTTCACGTCTCTTCAAATTCTAATACACGGCCACTTTTTAAACAAGATTTGGTCGTATCATTATCATACACCGACCGACAATTCATCTTGTTTGGTCCGTACAATATTTGGATAAGAAGATTCAGATTGAATCAAATACGTTGTTTTTAAAGATACTAATCTATAACAGCATGATATTATTAAAATTCCTAACATACTCCCTAATTTCTGATAAATAATGAAGAATTAATTTCAAATTGAGCTAATAAATGGCATAGATAACAATTCTTAAAAGTATGCACATAAACAAAATTACGGAGGAGTATCTGAGTAGACATGATGTAAGTGATTATCCTTATGAAGATGTAAGTTTAAGTGCCACACTCGATGATTTTGAAGGTTTTATTACCCTTTATCAGATGTTATTCTTCTTGAACTCTATAAAATTCCAGCGGATAGAGACATCCAGATTGTTCACAAGACCAAGAAGGAATCCCCACAAGATTTGGAGTAAGGGACATACAACACGGACAGATAGCAGACGAGACGTAGAAGCACCTGGACCTACAAGACATTGAAGGTTTATCTCAATATGACATTATATGTATAAGAAAATAGCTAATGATATTTTAAGACATGGCGTGTATCGAAATAGTCAAAATATACAAGAAAATTGTTCAAATTACTATAAAAATACATTGTTAGCTCTTTTACAGAGTAATTTACTGGTGGTTTAAATGATTATTGGTATTATGATACGTTTATCTCTATAGAGGTAATGTATCATGCACCAATTTATACTTCTGTTTATTTATTTAATTCAGTAAACCAAACTCTTTACGACCGTACGACCAGCGTTATCACCAACACTCATAGTGTTAAACTATTTACAATATGTGGTTGTATACATGCCGGACTATTTTGTTTCATGTTTTATCGTGCATAGAACATTTGTCCCGGTCAGTTAGTGTTCGGATATTGATAAAGTATAAATGGTAGGTTTTTTATCAGACTGTAAATTATAAATGAGCTCTTGATATTTAGTTTATTGTTATCTTGGTTATAATGTTGTTTTAGATTGTTGATGGTGTTCTGTGATATTTTCTTATCTTTGGTCTCAGATTGACTACAATCGATGATCATATGCGAGGGCTGACTGCAAAGTTCTTAAATCAATACCAAATTCGATGGTTTTCATTTAATTCATTGTCCCATTTCAGTCACACTTAAAAAGTCATTCACAGCGAAAATGAAGTCATCATTACTGGGAATATTACGGGGATCTGCTTCAAAACGACATTGGACTTCATGAACCGAGTATCCATCTTGCAATATATTTTGTCATTCTCAACAGTGCTCAAAGCTCTCATAAGAGAAGCCAAAAACGCTGGCCATACATATAACGCATGGTTAATCGTCGATCAACCATCATCATGTAATGATCCTGGAATGGTCATCCCAGAATAACGTTATCGTAAAATCTCTCTATCAGTAATATAGTCAGTTGTGTTCATTTCTGATGATTTAAATGACTACGTTCAAAAGATCGACTGGTACAATAACACTACACTGGTTTTATGTCTTTGACCTACGATTCACTATATATGATAGTCTTTGTTGGTGACAAACGTTGGTTACAATTCGATACATATACCACAAATAAGTGAGAAAAAAATTGTGGAATGGTTGTCCAATTTCTCTCACAAATTCAATTGGATATGATGTTGTTTTGGTTGTTTGTATTAATCGAAAGAATATATAAAGAATTTATTGCCCTTGTTTTATGATATTTAGGCTAATTATAATGGATTCACCTGCTACAATTTCCAAAGAGTTTATCTGAATTTTTATCTAATTATCCACATTACAAAGAGAAACGTTATGATTACGTTATTTCACTGGAGGAAATAGACCTTAAAGGTAATGAGGTAGAACAAGCAAGACTACATCTGGTTTTTTGTTTGATTTAAATCGCCTCAGTACCAGAACAAGATAAATCCATAGATAAAACAAACCAAATAAACATAAAAAATGTGAAAATAGCTAGTGGTGAGAAATACAAACCCATTTGACTTTGTTATAACTAAATAAAAATTACTACCTTGTGTATATTGATCTGTTTTATCAATTATAAATATTTATATATATATATATATCGGAATATGAAATAATATTTAAAAGTTATGAATATAATTTGGTATTACACTATTTCTTAAGATTATTGAACTATTCAAAATTCCATTAGATGTTTTAATAATGATTGATTCTAACATTATAAAATTTATATCACAAAATCTTCAGAATCGTTAGATTTTAACTTTGTAAAGTTTATAGTAAACATAATTCATATCGCCAGATTGCAACACTATAAGATTTCCTGTAATCATTCTTCATATAGTCAGATTGTAAGATTGTAAAATTTCTAGTACACATACTTTATCTCATCAAAATGTAACACTGTAAAATGTGTTTTAAACATACTTTATATCGTCAGATTGTAACATTGTAAAATTTCTAGTAAACATACTTCATATCCATAGCATGTAATATAATTATTTTACAACATACTGCTTCACCCTGTCTACCAGCATCAATTAAAAGAGAATCTAATTAAAGGAAAGTTATAAAAAATGAAGTTAATAGCTGACAATATTTAGGAGCTGATTGGAGTGAGATACAGTTACCATGACATTATTACTATATAGTAACCATATATTCAGGAGAATGTTCTATAACAGGGACACTGTCAATTATAGACCCTTTGATTCTTATCTGAGAAAAAATGTATATTCTGAAAGAAAGGATGGAATTGCCATTTCAGATTGAGAGTTGGTGACATCCTAAAAACTGAAATAATTTTACAAGCTATGGCTATCCTTATAGATAATATCCATGCTGATACGACCTTAATTTATCAATGCATGAAACAAATATCAGAGAATGCCTACGTTGGCACTTATTGTAATTTAGAAATTTTTATTTCAAGATGTTATTATTGATGTTTTATTAATTCCAGGTCAAGAATCAGATACATTAAAGAGATTACAGGATGCTGTATATAAACTACGGTTTCAATCACATCCAGAATTTGCTACTTTCTTCGGTGTGCATGATTTCGATGACAGATTGGAAGCCTATACCATGGAGTCATATAGACGTCGAAAGGTGGGTAGATCAACAACTAGCTTTAATAACTGGATACTTTTTTCATGGCACAAAGCACATGTCTTCAAAAACTGAAATTCGCGATCGGATCACCGAAAATTCTAATTTATGGGCATTTGGAGAATGATCTGTTAGAGGACTTCCTTGAGCAATATAAATCATATTGGCGCAACGATTATTAGAAAAATATTCTATAAGAATGTTCTTTGGGCTAATTCATTCTGCATTAGATAGATGAAAAAATGTTTGTCCTATGAATTGAACAATATTCTTGTGTATGATATTCAGAAATGTTCCTCCGTTATCATGTACAGAAATGTGAAAATTTGTGGCTTTTATTAGAGTTAGTGTCGGTGACAGTGAAATATATTTAAAAAGAACAGCCTTGATTACATATCAACGTCAGTTCAGTTGTTTGATCGTACACTATTTCAATTCTAAAACATTAAATCTTTGGCTGCAATTCAAAAGAAGTTAGATTAGCATATTAATTGAGTTTGTAAAAGATTCATTACAAAATGTCAAATTAGTAAAACTACTTCAACCTAAGTGTTATAGTCTGGTACAAGTTTTTTAAAAATCTAATGTTGATTTAATAGTTTAGTATGTCATACACATGCTGTGTTGGTATGTTTTTAGTACAAACCACTTTTTGTAAGAAATGTCTTATCTTTAACAGTTCTTAATAAAACAACAGGAGTTGTGATATGGCATAACCATTCGAAACAACTGAAAATGCAGTCTCGCCTTATTTCAGTAATGCCACGCACCCTAATGCACACTCGTCCATAGCTCTAAGACAAATTAAAATTGAAACCGTTTTGAATATAGAAATCGCAAATAACCTAATTTCAATTGTAAGAATTGGAGTATGAATTTTCTACATCCATTGTTGGTAGAATAGGGTAACCCTCATCTCGTTTGACTTCAATCTTTGGTTGGCAAAGTACGTTCATCTGTAACAACCTGCGTTCACAGTCGGCAGAAATAACGATATCCTCCTTTAACCTGTGTTTATGGTAGAAGTAATGGTATCTTCATCTCAGGTAACCTTTGTTTACATATAGTTGACGTAACGGTATCCTCATCTGAGATAACCTGTGTTTACTGTATAGGTAAAGGTTACAGTATCCTCATCTCAGGTAACCTGTGTTTACTGTAGGTAGAGATAACAGTATCCTCACTTCAGGTAACCTGTGTTTACTGTAGGTAGAGATAACAGTATCCTCACTTCAGGTAACCTGTGTTTACTGTAGGTAGAGATAACAGTATCCTCACTTCAGGTAACCTGTGTTTACTGTAGGTAGAGATAACAGTATCCTCACTTCAGGTAACCTGTGTTTACTGTAGGTAGAGATAACAGTATCCTCACTTCAGGTAACCCGTGTTTACATATGGTAAACGTATCCGTATCCTCATCTTTTTATAATTTGTGTTTACTGTAGGTAGAGATATAAGTATCCTCATCTGAGATAACCTGTGTTTACTTATGGTAGACGTATTCGTGTTTACTGTAGGTAGGGGTTACAGTATCCTTATCCCAGGTAACATGTGTTCACTTTCAGTAAAGGTTACAGTATCCTCATCGGTGATAACCTTCATTCCATTTACTAATGGTAGGATTATGCGTATCTTTATCTCAGATAACCTGTGTTCACTGACAGTAGATGTATCCGCATCCCCATCTCCTATAACCTACAGCGACCTTTAAAAAGACAAAAGTATCCCCTTTCCGGAAAATCATTCAATGATGTAAAGATCCAATTCTACTCGATTTGGAAATCCTATTATTATTTTTAGGGTACGATACCCCACTCCAGATAACTTACATCCAATGTTGGCATAGCTTAGAAATCTGTTGTCTCGAATAACCTTGATTACTTTAAGTCTGGATAAGAATATCTTCAGCTAAGATTACCTACTCTTACAATGGATAATACATATGGATTTGCTCCGTATCTTTTGGATACGTTGTCTTCACAATTAATAAACCCAGTACTAACTGTAAATCTTTCACAAAGTTCACAAATTAATTTGATAAGAAAAAGAAAAAGAGATAGTAGTCTATTATTTATTGCATGTGTATTTAGAGGTGTTCTGGATATCATCTTCTCACTAAGAAGATAACACTGTTATATGTACAATTTATATAAATTACGTCCTGTTAATATAAATCATTTCACTGCGCTAGATATAAAATCTCAACCTGCAAGTGTAGGCTATCTTGTTATATAATTCAACTCCCAAATCTCGTGTCGTAATTTTTTTCGTTTATGATGGAGATTGTTTCATGAAAAATCAGAAATAAATTCCTTACTTCATAATTGAATAAAATTATACTCGAGCTTCTTTCTCAATTTGAAGAGAACAGCAATATTTTCTTTAAAGATATTTCATTCACATAAATATGAAAAACATGTGGGAACAGACTTTCAGACCTTCAAAGATATCTCTAACTAGGAATTTTACTCACTATTTCTGTATATGTCTTTTTTTTATATATCAAATAATATCTTAAAATGACGAGTCGTCATTTTAACATTAAAACGCGGATAATACTGGACACACAAGGATTTGAAGGCTCAAATTCCGACGGTTAGTTGTGAACACTAATTGACTCCCGTTTCTGAGACTTAAGTATGATTGGTCAAAAAGAATGGAGCATCTGTCCCTTTAAGAAAAGAAGACAGTTACAATCTCTTAAATACCGCGTGTACCTCTTTGATGCCTATATAATCTGCAGAGAAATAAAGAATTCACTAAGATTCTGACAGAACACATAGAACCATTCGTGATTCGGATTTATCTGGAAAAGAGCAATAAGATACTACAGATTCAAAAATACTTCTTAACAAGTGCAAGCAACATAACTCACATATTACCCAGGTTTTAGTAGGTACAATATAGTAGAACTCAGGTAATGTTTCACCTTTGAGACAGGTAAGAATGAATTACGACGGAACCAGAAAATTACATTTCACTACGCTGCCAATCAACCCCAGCCAATCAGAAGTTTTTTTGTTGTTGTTGATAAGAGAGGTTAAGATTTCATCAACACTATTACATGACATGTTTAGAATCAGGTGAAAATCTTAAGCTCTCTAACAGCCACTTACTGTATGTAAAGATAAAAAGTTAAGAGATAAAATTACATGTTCAGTAATTTAACAGAATGTTAGCTATCAGATACCAATTAGCTTTTTATGTAACAAAGAATTTTTACCGATTATCACTAATAAAACAGACAGTAATATCTTTAGATATTAAATATTGAAGTCGGTTTTTCGTTGTGAAAATTGCTTCATCTATTTAATCTGATTGAAATGCAAATCTGGATATTCGTTTCCTTTGTTTTTGTAAAGCATACGTCCATATTTGCATTTCAATCAGATTGTCATTTATGATAACATCTTTATCGTGAATTTCTCAAAAGTTTTTAAACTACAGGTTCTTGTAAGACAAGTTAATACATTGCATCTATCCGCTTAAACATTAGTTCCTTACATCATTATAAAATGATTCATAAATCTTATCTGATATTATGATCTGGTTCCTGTCTTATTTCAGGAAGTCTGCGAGGAGTATTTAAAACTGGTAGAAGATGTTGATATTAATCAGCTAACCCGTGTTGAAAGACGAGAACTTCGAATCTTAAAATCCTATTTACAAGCTTATATAGAAGGTTATGAATGGAGAGAGTAAGTATATTATCTGAATCTAAATATATGAATCTAAATATCAGAATCTAAATATCTGAATGTTGTAATATCGGAATGCTCTGAAAAATTTGGATCTTTTTTGTTTCAAAATTTTTTCATCTTCTGTTTTTTTTTTATGAGGTTTTTATGCTGCCCGAATTGCTGTCTGAATTTCGAATAATATTTTCGAATTATATTCGAATAATCGCATCTTTTCAGAATGTCCTGCCTATTCAAGACAGGCAGTAAACGTAACTGACCTCTGCACTACACTCAACGCCCAGGTATTTCCTGAGTTCTTAATGATAAACAATTTAGGGTGGAATGTACAAAACTCGGTCGATTCTGAATGGGACGAAACAATTTAAGAAAACAAAGAGTTTCTTAGTCCCACATTGAATAAAAAATAATAATGCCAGCCAAGTTCAGCTAAATATTATGACATTTCTCCTGGCAGTAAATCAAAACATACCCAACTTATATCCTAGTAGATTTCAAACAGCTTGCAAAACAGGTGGAAATACTGTTCTTTACCTTTTTCAATATTTTAAGATGATTACAGACCATACAGATTTCAAAACAAAGACGTTGCCAAAATTTTGGTTCTTCAATCACCTTTATGCTTTATCAAGATTCTTATCTTCGTTTAATAAAGAGGGATGAAAAACTAGAATTGCTAAAAATCATGTTTCCCTTTGGTGCACAGTTATACCAATTTTGTTAACCCTGTAGAATTATTATTGGTTTTTCCAAATATTGTTACTAGAATGACTCGATATTCAAATCTGTATGCAAGGTTATTCTAACTTTTTTTTTATGTCAGACAGATTTATTAATGACTCTTCAAACATGGTATTTCAAAGCTATTATAGCATTAAAACTTTAAATATGTCTAATCCATTGAAATTGTGACACAAATTACGTCAATAAGCTTTCATTTTGACAGAATCAAATTGTTTCCTGAATATATTATTTTACTGATGTTAGTATCTCAAATATGTTGATTTTACATCATTCTAATACAATCTTTACTTATCTCATACTTTTATAGTGACAGAATTTATCTCAGAAACACAGTAAATATTAATATACAATCTTTACTTATCTCACACTTTTATAGCGACAGAATTTATCTCAGAAACACAGTAAATATTAATTTACAATCTTTACTTATCTCACACTTTTATAGCGACAGAATTTATCTCAGAAACACAGTAAATATTAATATACAATCTTTACTTATCTTACACTTTTATAGCGACAGAATTTATCTCAGAAACACAGTAAATATTAATATACAATCTTTACTTATCTCACACTTTTATAGCGACAGAATTTATCTCAGAAACACAGTAAATATTAATATACAATTTTTACTTATCTCATACTTTTATAGTGACAGAATTTATCTCAGAAACACAGTAAATATTAATATACAATCTTTACTTATCTCCTACTTTTATAGTGACAGAATTTACCTCAGAAATACAGTAAATATTCTTATACAATCTTTACTTATCTCATACTCTTATAGTGACTGAATTTACCTCAGAAACACAGTAAATATTAATATACAATCTTTACTTATCTTAATATACTTTTATAGTGACAGAATTTATCTCAGAAACACAGTAAATATTAATATACAATCTTTACTTATCTTATACTTTTATAGTATGTATATGACAGTATTTAGCCCAGAAACACAGTAAATATTCTTATACAATCCTTACTTATTTTACACTTTTATAGTGACAGTATTTAGCCCAGAAACACAGTAAATAGTAAATATTCCTGTACAATCTATACAATTTTATAGTAGCATTTATGGTAGTTTATGCAGTTACTAACAGAACATACATAAGACTGCTAGTTTATATTTTTCGGAATTGCATCGTCATGTGCACATTATCTTTTCTCGACGATACCACAGTCGTCACTGATTTTCAAATTGTAAAGTTGATACTAAGAAAACTGTTTTGGAAATAAGAATGAATTCCATTAGCGACACACAAATGAATCCAGTGAACTAAAATGGGAAGTAAAGAAAATAATTTCCATTAAAGGCTAATTCTTAACTCAAATGCACCATTTTGTACCTAATTTATATCATTAAACATGATTTTAACTTAATTGAAAAATCTGTTCAGAATAAATACTTTAATGTACTAATGGTAGCTAACTAACCATTTAAACTTGATTTCCGAACATTTCAGTATCTTTGATAGAAATTTACTGTAAATAGTACATGAAGATGAACTAATGTGATTTTAAAGATTGAATAGGTTTTATTAAGTGATAATTTGAAACGCAGAGTTTCTAAACTTATCCTTTGATTTAATACGATTGTGTTTCAAATGCCTATAAAGAGAATCTACATCGCTTGTTTGGTAAACGAAACCTGCATAAGACATATATTTAATTTTGTTTTGTTGGTTTTTTGGGTGTTTTGGGGGTTTTTTGTAATTCTTTTTTTCTGTTGGGAATCGTGGAAGTCTCTTTATTTATTATGGACTGCACACTATACCAAGAAAGCTTTTCTCTACAAAATACGTGGATAACCCTGCATTTGGCTTTTTTCGTCTTTGCCAAATCACCCAGTGTAGAAATCAGTATGTGAGGCTATTGGAAAAAATATATTCATCATGTTGAATATGTCTTTCTTGTTAAACATGACAAAAAATTAAAAATATTCCACGCTTTCGACATTCCTGTTTATTTAACAGAAGGCATTGGAATGTCAGTGTTTTGGTAGAAAAACTCTGTGTATAATGAATGATGGTATTTCTAGATAATTATTGTGTGTTTAACTTCCAATAACGGTAATTAAACTCGCTACAATACTTTATCTCTTAGTCTATGTCGTTTGTTATTTTAAACTACCACCATATTTTACTGTAATTTAAGGTTCTCCTTCTCTTCATGTCTACCTGACTTATCTTTACCTTATCTTTCTATAAATAAAACAGGTTTCATCATATACATACGACTGCCTAATCAGTATTCTATCGTTCTGCTGTCTGTCTATCAGAAATATGTTCCGATTCCCATTATAGTGCAATGCCTGGAAGTGTATTTATCTACAATCATACACCATATGGTATATCAATCAAATATTGCCTTTATCAATAATCAACAATGGCCGTTATGCACTAAAATATGTCTTAATGACAAATTATCACCTTAAGCCCCAGTGTTCGAATACAACAAATTCCTTTTGATCCAGGAATGTTATGTTACCTTTCTACTTACTTGAGATACTTGACTTTGAATGGATCTAGTCCACAAAATATTTGAATCAGGTTTAGTTTCAATCTACTTTTATCACTCTTTCAAAACAAATTCCTATGTCGAGGTCGTATACATAGTTCAATAAAAGGAATTGAACTTTTCGATTTGGTCTAGATGTTCCGGATTTAGCTCCAATAGGTCTGGAAAATTCAGATACATCGTTTTATTGTTTAAATCAAATGCACCCAGTCCTCGTATTATCTTTCTGAGAAAACATCCCTTGAAGGCACAGTCTTTCAGTACAACATCTTTCTACTTTTCTTTTCAAAGACGCATACAGAATTCTTATTACAATATGTAATTGAACGAAACATAACAAATTATTAACTCCACTCTAGTGAACCTGAACTCAATTTTCTGGTGCTGAAGTTTGGACAGTTTTATTGTTATTACATTGTCAGCTATTCTTATTGTAACACTATATATATTAATTATTCTTAAATATCATTCTAACTATTTATCATATTGATATTGGCTTTAACTATTTGTTTGATTAAAATGTTTAAGTTTACCAAACATAATTGCAAAGGTTAATAAAGTTAACCATTCTTCATTCTGAATTGCATTGGGTTCAATCAGACTCATAATGAAACTATATTAGTTGGTCGTTCTACTCCTCAATTCTGTCCAAAGAAGGTTACAGTAAACCTTTTAGCGCAATTCCTACCTGAAACATCTGCTAATCAAACAATGAAAAAATAATTTCCTTGCATAAATAAAATCGATTGTTCCTGATAGTCATAGGCAATCATTACATAGCTGATGGTTCCAAGAGTATGATTGATTTCAGAATTAAAAAGCCATCAGTTACATGTGACAATATCTGTCTAGTATTTGTTATTATATAGCATGAAATTGAAAATCATAACAAATCATCCATCGTACGAGATGGTTGAACATAACAAAATAATATCTACGGGCAATATCAGATGAAATCTTCCAGACGTTACGGTTAAAAAATTGATTGTATAAAAACTCCCACATGTTGTATATATGTAATTGTGTACAAGAAGTAGAAAAACACCAGCAAGAAGTTATTTTAATGTATATTGATATATTGAATACAGTAAATTGCCTATAATCAGGGAAATAACCAATGATTACCTTCAATATCTTTTGTCTGTTTCTTTTTACAGACTATTTTTATTATTATAATTGTATAATCAATATCGAAGGAAAGATCAACCAACTTTCAAATGAATGCACTGGTACAAATATAAATGAATGAATGAAATTTACCTTAAAATGAATTCTTATTCATTTTAGTTATGGTGCCTTGAATCCGATAAATTTTCTGGAGGGTATTACAGCAGGTCCACACTGGACTCTATACTCTAGGTTAAAAACTAAAGATGATTATCAAAATTATCTAAAAAGATTAGCCAGCGTACCTAAACAGGTAAGAAAATTACTTTATTTATTTATTTTCCGATGCTCTGGACCGATTGGTAACGGTTTTGTCAACTGGTGTGATCACAAATAATTACAGACAACCCTACTTAAACGTTCAATTGGTATGTTTTTAAAATATAGATATTTATATTCAGGTGGACCAGGAAATTGCTTTAATGGAAAAAGCCATACGATTGAAAAGAACCAGCCATAAGGTTTCTGTAGTAAGTAGCATCTGCACTATCCTTAATCCCTCCACCTCCTTTCTGCTTCTTCAACACTTCTATAAAAAAAATGCATTATGAGGTTTCACTTCTACAGACCTAAATTTCATGCTATTAGCTACTTACTTCATTGCAACCTAATGAGATACGATATCGCTATGTTATCAGTAATGTAAACCTTGCTGCTTTGTGGTGTTGGTTCTGTCAGATATATATCATGCATATTTACCATATCATCTAATTCATTACTTTGTGTCATCTCAAAGCTGTAATATTTGAACAAATATTTTCTAAAATACCAGGATATGACCAAATTTTTAGGCTTGTTTATTTGTTGTCTGATTACCCATGTATTTTCTATTTTACCAGGATCGTGTACCAAAGATGATTGAAAATTGGCCAGTTTATCAGATTTATTTATACCCATTTCGAGACGCTCTGGAAGAAAGTCGATTATCAATAGAAACTAGGTGCGTAGTGAAGCAAATGTTCAAAGAATTGTTTTGAACATTTATAATCAACCTTTCATGCGTTTAATCCTTTTGGGGAAAACAACGCTTAATATAACGGAAACATTCTTATGATATACTCAACACCTCATGTTAATGACAAAACAAAGAATAAGAGAGCTGGAGTATAGCATATCATAAAATTGTATTGTTTGTATGTCTGATAATGTCTACTTGGTTGTTTTTCCAAATGATTTGTTCTACTGATTTCAGAATAAACACCAAGGATCAATGGCCTTTCACTCATTTCCTGTTAGAACCAAGCGAAACTTTAATTTGAAATTTTAAAGAACAGTCGATGTGGAACATATATATTATGTTTAGATGAACGTTTCATTGTAGGAATCGATTGCAGCGGAAGGCAGAAGAATTATTGGTGCCAATAAATAAAAGTTTAAAAAGATTCCAAAAGTTTATGGAAAAGGTAGGAGGTCTTTCAATCACCTGCTATCTAATTGATGACGTCATAAGTGTACCTTTCTGATATATTTACGTTGTTATATTACCTGCTCGATAAATGCAAATTACCAGCCAAATTAGAAAAAGCAGGTGTGTTTGTTAAGATTTGGTGGTCACAATAATTGATAGTAAACATGAATTGGATGTTGATTGACAAAAAGGGAAAAAGGTAATTGGTATAGAAGATTGATTTACTGTTTGAAACAATGAATACCAGTTGTCAGTTTTGAATGAATGAATGAATGAATGAATGAATGAATGAATGAATGAAGAGATGCAATGATGTTTTATGTAGATACTGTGTATCTGATTGCCCAAAATCCACCGAAAGGGGGTAAATTGACTGATTCAGGGTTATACATAATTTACATAACATATCTATCAGCTGTAAACTGTATATCAAGGCGAGGGCGAGGTTTTAAGATGAATGAACCTTTTACTGCTTGATCTTCAAAATTAATTTTCACTTCATAAAAAACTTTTCCTGATTTATAACAAAAATTTCAAAGAGCCTTCTCAATAAATTTGAATTAAGTAGAAAGCCAGATGTAATAGTTTGCCGACAAACGAATACATAAACAACTCTAGAGGAAGATGTTTCTGGCTTTTGTTTACCTTCGAGTATTAAAGGTCGGCTATCAGATAAAGATCAAAGGCTTTGATTATGCAGGTTTAGGTGCGCTCACGGTGGTAAACTTATGCCTTAAATTTTGGCAATGTTTTTGATATGGTAAATGTGTTCCATATAGTTACTGTAGGGAATATTGCTACTCAAAGGTAGTGCATATTTCGGACGATACATGTTAACATACATGTTGTTCTGTTTAGCATATGATATTCTCTGTAGTAAAGAATTCTTCAAGGTGAAAATTACAAATACCATACTATATACAAGTGGAAATAAGTTCATTGAAAGTCAAGAGGAAGTCAAGAGGTATTGACACATAGCTACAAAATAATAGCAATACAACAGCAGATGCTGTAATCACAGCATACAGCCAATATAGTTTTCAAGCAGGCCAGAATCCGTTCAGTTCGACAAGACTCAATTCTGCAGCTAATATCGGACGTTGCATATACACATGTTAAAAAGATACAGCGATAGATCAGATTTTTACAGATGCTACCATTTGCTGTAGTCGTAGGAAGTTCAGAGACGGAATGCTAGAAGAAAGGATATGTGCTGTACAATCCTTAAAAATAACAATACAAAGTGTCCACTCAGGGTCGCTCTTCAGTAAAATATTTTCTCCTTCTTTTTTTGCAGTTGTTTCAAAATATCAAACGAAAATATTTATAAAAATATAAAAAATAGAATAATTTCACTACTGGTCAGATACATAATATTATTATATAGTACTTAACAATTTAATGTTTTAAATTGCGATAATGATTGCTGGAATCTCTATACGTAAAATATATTTTGGTTAAATGATCAAAACTAGATCCACCCTTACAAACTATAACTTTATTTATGGCGCCAATGGAATATTGATCATATGTTAAAGTCACATTTGATATCATTTCAAACAGAAATCTGTACATCATTCTTTAAAAGAATATATGTTTTGTATGATTTTATTAGCCAATGCCCATCATGATAAACTTTGAAACCTGGTTCAATTGTCAGTCTGTTCCAAACTTACCGTTTTCGTGGCCAATTCATGTCAAAACAGTGGCCCTCCTGCATTCTCAAACTCATCTGTAAATCAATTTAATGCATGTAAAAAAAATTGGTAGTGATTGATCATTATTATCACTACAAGTATAACGTTTCTGTCTCAGATGTGTACAGAAAGCAAATATAACACATGGCCACATTTTCTGAATAAATTCTTTATATTAAAGGAATATGCAGCAGCAACACGACCTTCGCCTGGTGTTCATTCCTATCCTAACGGAGAGAAATATTATAGAGCTTGTTTAAAATGGTATCTAGGATATGAAATAACACCTGAAGAGATCTTTGAAATAGGTGTCAAAGAAGTTGATAGAATAGAAAGGAAGATGAAAAAGGTAAGCGCAGTGTGTCTGATAGCTGACTTTTCTTGTCACTGTGGCTATCTGTTAGTATGTAATCATGAACTTGATGGAATTGAAAAACATCTCGGATACTTTAACAAAAAACAAATCCAAGAAAGTATATTATATTCTGCTTTTGGCTACTATTTTTTTTTTTGCTTTCCAGATAATGGAATCTGTTGGTTTTCCACAAGAAGATTTAAAATCATTCTTCCAATATGCTAAATACATTCCAAAATTTTATAATCACTCAAAGGTAAGTACAAAGAACTTTTTATATTGAGGTCAGCATAAAGTGGTTCGAATCGTTGAATATGGTATATTTTTTACAGCCTTCGAATTGCACTCAAATTATTGCACTTAAATAATTCTTTTGTAGACCTAACAATTAATTTATTGATAGATATGGAATTTTGCCACTCTTTCAAAGTAACACAGAATTATTAGTAAAACAAATTTCTTAACATATGGCCACCGTGCATAAATCTATATCTGTATAAAAGAAGAGAGTCAATTTCATATTAATTGAGAGGAAATGAAACTACGGAATTGCAGTGTTTTCTTAAGACAAGTTAATATTTCTTGTAATATCTGGTTCTAATTTGATAACAAAATTCGCTAGTATCTGTGTATTCAGAGGTGTAACAGCGAGTATAGATGTTGCGTTAACACATAAACCTTGCTGCATGGTTTTTAAATCAGTTTCTGCCTTGCGATATTTAATGGTTTTGACTGATGTATTAGAGGCTAGCTCTGATTGAAAGTGTATATAAGTTAGTTAATATTTTGTCTTGTAGCCTATAAAGAACAACTGACATACACAAATCCTTTTGACTCTGACTAGGAGAATTGGGCGGACGGTATCGTATACTAGAACATTATCACAAATAACCAGCCATGTCATCTGATAAATAATTACACCTTTCTCTTCTTCTGATAAACCTTAACTAATTCTGCTGCCTATAAACTTTAGTGAAATACACATAAAGTACTTGGTATTCCGAAATATTGGGAACTGATTGTGCTCATTGTCGGTCAGTTGAACAAAATTCTCCAATCTTTCTTCAAATTTACTAGGCCTATCATTAATATCTCTCCAGATTTAATAATTCTGGTACACGTACTTTTCTCATCCAAACAAATTGGGTAAACATACTCCCTGCCCTACCTCCATTCCAACAACCCTTGTGACTGACATGAGTTGCGGGGGTTATGACAGAAAGAACTTGTTATATTACCACATATTAGCCTACAAACTTAAAGCAATATTCTCCAAAAGAATTTAACACAATTAACAGAATTCGCGCCAGTGAAAATTTTAGCATACATCTATAGCTTTGGGAGTTTATCTCTATATATTATAAACAATTTTTCGCAATGGTGTACTGTTTCTGACAAAGCAGGAATAACATGCTTTTTCAAAGTGGAAATCAGCAAAACAGCACGTCAGCTAACCGATATAGCCACCTTAATGCTATTGATAATCTCAATGTCAAGTCTGTTTTCTTTCAATTTCAATATGAAAACCATTCCATGTTTATATCTCTTGGCTTATCATTGATACATAAATCTTAGAAAATATACTGGCACTGATTTACAGGTTGTCTCTCAAATACCGTACTTGGTGCCATCCTAATTAAAGTTAGATGTATAGCATAATCTAAGAGGTTCTAATGAAAGCTATCTAATACACATATCAAACCTCCAATTTTGTTTTGCAAAACATCGCAACGTTAAGGCAGTAACTAGAATATATAATTAATGCACATCATACAAGGTACAGCTACATCTATGATTCTTACAACTCAATAATCTTTTCTATCTGTTTGCCAGGAGGAATTACTCGCCAAATATCAGGGAATATTAAATCATGATATTAGACCAAAGTTACCACGTTTATTCTATAATATAACATTACCAAAAATCAAGTAAGTTTGAATTTTATATATTGAATAAGAGATATTTTCTGCCCAAATATAAATGTATTTATATGTTTCATGCATCAGCAACGAGCTAAACAGATTAATACGTAAGATATGTCGTTCATATAAGCAAATATGAAAGGTATATAACTTTCTTTTAACTCGCAGATCTATTAGATAAAGTTTGATCGAATGATGTAAATCATCCCATCACCTGTCTGGACTATACTAGTGTTTCTGGGACCCCTTTGCAACCTTCAACTACTAATACCTGCAGTACATTTACCGGATGAGACAGTGTGTATTCATTCTTCTTGATTAATTTGTTTTCAGTATAGTACCAGTAGAAAACGACGGACCATGGGGTTCATACGGCCAGAATGTATTTTATGTAAATTTGAAGGATCCAAGAAAAAGGTCAGTTTTTTCAAAATCATTCTTCATGAAATTGAGGGTATCGTGTAGGATCCATTCGCCATGCAGAAGATGCCTTGTCTATTGTCGGACGTATCTTTTGAGAAAATATCAATTATTTAGCATCCTTAACAGAGTAGATACCCTTAATACAGAATTTTAATAATGTTTTTTAGATCAACTTTTATGATGCTACCACTTGCTGTACACGAAACAGACCCAGGACACCATTTCCAAGAAGCTTATACAGCTCTGTATGATGTTCCTGCTTATAGAAGTCATAGTATGATTAGTAAATTATATTCAGTACCACTTCATTTTCCTGTCTACAGTGCTTATACAGAGGTAAGGGTTTATAAATCGGTATTTGCTTTAATTTTATACAGCATAATTGCAAAGTGTATATTATATCGAAGCGATTTTATGTTTGCCATCCACTAAAAAAAGAGCAAGGAATAGATTCTATTTGGGAACTAAAAATGTTATTTTAAAATCTTTTGTCGACTTACGTTAGTGAAGAAAATTAAAGATGAAGAATTGATCGATTTTTTCTTCAAATTTCCCAACATTTCTTCAAGTGATTTCCGAACAGGGAAGTGGAAGAGAAAATATTGATCTATAATTAATGGAAAATGAACAAAATTGCCAATATTTATCACCTTTGACATTCAAATACATATGTAATTTGTATTTTATCTGAAAAAAATAATTTTAAAACGATCTGAAGGTTAAGTTGTAATACAGTTATTATCTGATCATATTGAATTTACTCTTTTCCTGTACTTATAATTAACCAAGAGATCTTTCTATCTAAAATCGTTATTGTCTATCCCAACAGTTCATTGCAAACAAGATTGATGAGAGTTTTTTCTTAACGATTTTCATATGCACCATAAGTCCAAAATCTCTTTAATCCACAAAGATTGACATCACACAGATATCTGAAAAAAAAGAAGGAACTTTGCTGGATTGAATTCGCATTCCGTTACGGCGATTGTTTGATTAACGAAGTGATATAAGTAATCATATATATTTCAGGGCTGGGCTCTTTATGCTGAATACCTTGGCACAGAAATGGGTCTGTACAAAGATCCGTTTGAAATGTAAGTGTTGGTACATTTGATTACACCATTCGTAGTATATTTTCAATACTTGCTCGATAGTTCAGTACCATCCTGAGGTAGCCTATGATAACAAAAACATGTAAAATTCTATTACCGTTCAAGAAAAGTCAATAATGCTCATTGCTTCGTAAAAATCTGTGCCTGAGAAATTAACTTTGTACTTCAGGTTTGGTAAATATTGCTCTGAAATCTTTCGAGCTTGTCGTCTGGTTGTAGATACAGGTATTCATGCTTTTGGGTAAGTTTTATATGCTGCTACTAGTGTTTTATATGGTTTTAGGAAGTAATCCTGATTTGGGTCAAGTTGAGAAGAATGATTTCAAAATATACAAATATACAACAATGATGTTCATACGAACAGTATTTATTCATTATATCAAAATACATTTGGCTAAGGCACATAATACTGTATCTAAGTTCTGTTTTACAGCTGGACAAGAGAAAGAGCAATTAAATTTCTTGAGAGTTATAGTGATTTCCCGAAAAGTCAAATAGAAGCAGAAATAGATAGATATATAACATGGCCTGGACAAGCCTGTGCGTATAAAATAGGCGAAATGAAGATCATAGCCCTAAGACGAAAGGCAGAAAAGATATTAGGTTTGTATATTATGATTTTCGGCCGACTTTTATAGAAAATAGAACGTCATTCAATAAATGATGTCCAATATGGATGACATCACAATCAAAGGAACGTCATTCTGATATCAATGGAACGTCAATATTGTGTAACAGTAAAGTCATTTTGATATTAAAGAACCTTCAATTTAATCAATCTGATATAAATGGAACGTCATTCTGATATCAGGGAAACGTCATTCTTATATCAATTTAATCTTATCTTATATCAGTGGAACGTAATCCTGGTAACAGTGGCATGTCAATATTGCATAACTTCAATCTGATAAATAGGTGGTACTGATACCAATGTGGCATCAATATAACTCCAATCTGATATCAATGGAAAGTCATACTGATACCAATGTGGCATCAATATAACTTCAATCTGATATCAATGGAAAGTCATACTGATACCAATGTGGCATCAATATAACTCCAATCTGATATCAATGGAAAGTCATACTGATACCAATGTGGCATCAATATAACTTCAATCTGATATCAATGGAAAGTCATACTGATACCAATGTGGCATCAATATAACTCCAATCTGATATCAATGGAAAGTCATACTGATACCAATGTGGCATCAATATAACTTCAATCTGATATCAATGGAAAGTCATACTGATACCAATGTGGCATCAATATAACTCCAATCTGATATCAATGGAAAGTCATACTGATACCAATGTGGCATCAATATAACTCCAATCTGATATCAATGGAAAGTCATACTGATACCAATGTGGCATCAATATAACTTCAATCTGATATCAATCGAACCAAGGAAAGCCAGCTATTTTTTATGTATATCCTCGTGATACACAATTCTTATTATGTTTCAGGGCGTGACTTTAACATTAGGGAATTTCATCATGAAGTACTCAGTACTGGAAGTGTACCTTTAGACATCTTAGAAGAAATTATCACAGACTGGATCAGTGCCAAACAGGCTTGGAAAATAAATGGTCGATATGGTGCCAATATTGACCGTTTATCAACAAATTCAGGTTCTGGAATAAGTCATAATAATGGTGCCATGTTTCTGACTATATTAACTTTTATATTTTGTGGATTAACGTAGCCAATTCTCTATTCTGGTTGTGACAATGTTAATGTTTATTTGTGATAAAGGCAACGAACATTATTCAGAAAGACTCCAAGTGATGCCATAATAGGCTTTTGTAAGTAACAGCCACGACGTCTTTTTGGAATATTTTCAAACGAATAAGTAAATATCCCTTCTAATTAGGCACAGTAACAAAAACGACGCAATTCAGAAAAGGTCCAGACCCATGAATGAACGATTTCGAGCGAACAGCAGCACTTAAGCGTTTTCCATTGCATAGATTTCATTCATTCGGTATTTTCAGCATCACCATATAGACATACATATCCAAATCTGACCGCAGGACAACCAAGGCAGATCACACGTACCTCCAGATCCGTACCTTTCAGATCATGCATAAGATAAAGATAATTCAGAAGAAAACGCTAAATTTAAGATAATTGAAACAACATGTACTGCCTTCCACCATTTTTCTTTCGAATAATATTAATATTTGATGTATAATTTCGAAATTTTTTCGTTGAGTATTTTGTATATTAAAGGTATATATTTATTGTATAAAAATATTGTATGTATATATAGTTGAACAGTCTTAAACACGGATACGATACAAGTACAAATCTAACCCACAAAATTTCCAAAGCTAAGCAAAAAGGATCAATTTTGTTTTAAGGATTAATAATAACCTGAACAGAACCTTAGCAATCTACAATAAGGTAAGCATTCTCAAATAAAATCGAGAGTTGCGTATTTATTTTGGTGGAAAAAAACTCATATCACTCGTCCGGGAATATAAGAATTTACAGCAAGAAATCACAAGAATTAATCACAAGTTCTGAAAACGCTTGTTACGGTGTTCTGGTAATTCATAATCATCAAATTGACTTTCCAAGTGGCGCCATTCACCTCTCGTGTTAAGTGAAGTGTTGATTAGTTTGAAGTCGATTATTTGTGTTTCAGGAACCAAAAGTGATAAAGAATGTTTTTTACAGATTTTTTTAACATTTATGTAACTAAATTCAGCTTTTTTATTTGTAATTTAGAAGTAACCGTCACGGTACAAAACGATTGCGAGTCGTGGGTTGATGATAAATAATATTTATATCAAGTTAGCAGTGTCAAGAGAGTAGTTACTGATTACGATGTATAGGATGTCTCCCAAAGGAATAAACCTTTCAACATTTACTTCTTACTCAACTATAAACTTCCATTTATATCGTATATAGATATACATTCTTTAAATACTTCAATTAGACAGATCGTGGAATATCTGTGAAGTAAGACTAGTATTGTCACAGTTTAAATCATTGTCACGTTCGTTATCAAACCATACACTCTGAACTATGCAATCAAATTATCAGGAGGTTTTGGATAACCAATATACACTCTGTGGTGAATTAATTTGTAATAATAGGCTTAATGTAACGGGTCGACAAAGTAGGTCTGTAGCCTAAAACGATCTAGACATTTCCTATATAGTAAATTGTAAGTGATCGGTTGTCTATTTTACTTTTACTGTAATTTAAATTTGCTGTAAAGAATCACCTGGATCAATGAACAATAATTAACCTCCAGGCAGTTTATAAAGGGACTTTTTTTTATTTAGGTTTGAAGAAAATAGGTTGTTTTGGAAAACTAAAATAGGCATCAGACGTTCAATTTCATGCAATTTAAAAATATCATTTATAACTGAAATGTCATTGTTCAGAAACCCTCATGTTCATGTGTAATGATGTCTTAGAGAGATGATTTCCCGTGTCATGATTTGTCACATCCATAGCTTAAATTATTATTTGGAGACTCATTAAGAATACGAACAAAGTATTCGGGATAGTTCTCTCTTTGGATTTTAACAGAATTTTGAAGCAAAATCTATAGTCCACTTGGATCCAGATCATCACTTCTGCTGTTGCTGATTCAAGGGGAGAGGAGAGTAATATAGGATCGAATGAAAGACAAACGAAAGGAGATAAAAGATATTATTGCAGTGATCTGATATACATACATCATTATATATCGCGAAGGGAGATAACAAAATAATAAACTATTCACTTAATCAGCACTCCTTACATTATCATTTAATACTATAACATAAATCTTGTTATTATAACATACGTTATAACACTTGATCTTATATAACTAAGTAATATCACGTCATTCCTATTATATCTATATATAAGATTCCATCTAAAGTAAGTTATACAAATTGGACCGAGTTCCCATGGTCTATATAAACTAATATGCATTGAACAACAACCCATGGGATTAACATTTTGCATTACAGCTTCTAGCAAGAGATTAATTCATAAACCTAGGTTATTCTGTACTATTAGTCATGCAATAAAAATTACCAATTATAATCCATGATACACATTTTACTAAGTTATTCTAATAGCCTTACAGCTCCCTTTTACCCCACTGTCATAAGAAATCTAAAACTGTAACCACTTTATAGTAGATTTCTCATTCTAAAAATCCAAGAAACTATTGTTGGCTTGTTATTAACTATTTAGTTAAGATAGCTTGCCAGGCAAGGTAATATACGCCCACTGGCAGCTTTGATTTTGAATAAAAATATTTAGCAGTACAGTAACAATCACCAGTATGAAATATTCAACCTTCAGTCATACACTTCTTTTGAACTATTTAGGGCGATACTGAATAATATTGATCAATTTTTTGCTCGTGAAAACTCTAGAAGGCAAATATTCAATCTTCAGCGCGGGACTGAATAATGAAACCAAGTTTTGTCAAAATCCAGTAAGAATCATGCCTTTTAGTGTTTAAGAGTTAAATTTGAAAGCGTTTTCCAGAACAAGGGCAATAACTCATACTGAATATTTTTCAATTCTTCTGATTTTCAATAGGGTTCATCCTTGGGTGATAACGAACATTCACATCAAGTTTCATCAAAATCTGTCAACAATTGTGCCTTCTAGAGTGATTACGAGCTAAAAATTGAACGCTTTTCCAATAGCAAGGCCAATAACTCATACTAATTATTTTTTGATTTTTCTGATTTTCAATAGGGTTTATCCTTAGGTGATTACGAACACTCACACCAAGTTTTCGTCAAAATCCGTCAAGAATTGCACTTCTAGAGAGTTTACAAGCTAAAAATTGAACGCGTTTTCAAGTACCAGGCAATAACTCATACTAAATATTTTTCGATTCTTCTGATTTTAAATAGGGTTCATCCTTGGGTGATTATGAACACTCACACCAAGTTTCGTCAAAATCCGTCAAGAATTGTGCCTTCTAGAGTGTTTACGAGCTAAAATTGAAAAATTTCATGTTCATGTGGGCGTATAAAAATGGTTGCTATTTCCTTGCATACAATTTATAAAAAAGAAAGTCAAAGTCTTGTTAATCATGATAAGTTTCAGATAATTAAAACAGTTTCAAATATAATATATTGTATGTATATATATATATATAGTTTCTAATAAAGTAAGTATGAGTTACAAATTACAGAACCGTTACATTTCCACTATAATTCAGATAGTAAACTCGCCAGATACCATAGCAATAAAACCGGATTTCTATAATTTAGATCATATTTTCCTATAAACCATTAACAAAACATGTTGAGCTCAATACCGTCTGATGTACGGCGCTTAAAATTCAATCTAAAAAAGAGCTTAAAAGGAAATAACCAGACGACTATATCAAATTAACAACAACATTTCTTAAAACACACAAATAAATACAAAAAATAAGCTTTAACAATAAATGTAAGTAGACAAATAAACAGGGTATGCCTAACTATATAACACAAGAAGAAACGGGCTAGTTCCAAGTCAAAATACTCTGAAATCACTCTATCGATGGTCAATACATCAACTCACCTATAAGTAACCAGATAGTAGAAATAACAGGTTTTAGTTTTTGGGACTAACCTTATTTGAGAGTTAATATATATTTCCAGTAGGCTGTCTCTCATAAAAATATTTGATTTTAAAGATTTGATTTTCTATTATTTACATGTGCAACAGTCAGGAATGACTAATTCAAAGAAATTTACAACGATGACATCAACCATAACAGGAGAAGCTAAAACTACTCAGAATGCAGCGATTGTTAAAATATATTATGCCCTGCTTCATTTCCCACTCATATATATCTACTTTCAACAATTGTCGTTTCTGTTTGCTTTAGTTTGTGAAAGCTGGAGAACATGATACCTGGAAGCTAACACATCATCTCTTATGAAAAAGCTATTTAAATTGAGTCTTACTCGAATCGTATGTGTGGTAAACAATTTGGGTAACAGTTGTTAAAAGCCCGGAGAAGTTTACATACAAAATGGTGCATATTTTTTTAACCGTTTTAAATTTAAAACATGAATACTGGACAAAACAAATTATTCTTATAGGATAAACACTGCTTTGCGAACTAGATTAACTATTTTTCTTTTTAATACAACCATAAATTTAGAAAGAATTGCCTTACAATACAAAGCGTGACACCTGAATAGATTAGCTACCAAAAGCTAGCAAGAATTATACACTGTGGAAAAAAGTATCTATAATCTTTCAAGAACTATTAGACAGTCTGCTGAACAGTAGGTTGATAACGATGATTTGGTGAAGGTGATAAGATTTCTATGTTACATAATAATCTGTGACACCAAAGAATATAAGCACATGATCTAGAAACATTCATATCACAACTTTTGTCCTGTGGAACCTTGAATATTTACACGAACATTTACAGGAGTCACTTGTCCTAATCCTAGATCGCCACACACATCTTCCAGCTAAAATATAAAATATTAGATCATTAGATTTTCATACTGTAAAATTCATCTTCACCTAAATTCCGATCACATTTGAAGCGAAAATTCGTATTTGTTTTTTTCAAATAATGCTGCACTTATTGTTGGTTACCTTTGAACTGTTATTCTTCAAAAATACTTTTAAAGATGTTATATAATGATACGTAATCATACGTATAAAAATAGCACTGCTTTGTCTTTAGATTTTCATGCAATAGTCATATTAGAGATTACATGAACAAGAGAGAAACGATATATATTTGTAAGAGTTTAGTCAACAGTATAATCAGATTTGCGTGGTATATTTTTTAAGGCGCAACATTAATTCAATATAAAATAGTGTAAGCTGTCTCATGTTCATTTAGAATTCATTTTCATCTTTCTTTCATCTTTTGAGCAGGGTGTGAATGCATCTTTGTAGCCTCTTATGATTTCTGTGCTTTATGTGGCTGAATTTCGATTCTGTACAGTGGTGTGAAGTGACGAGCCGGTTTTTGTTCCTCAACATATAGATTTAAGTGAATATTGAACGACCCCCTTATCTACATAGTATGTTCAATAGGGGATTATCACTTCTAAATATGTTCATAATTACTGCTATATATTACATTCTATTACCCACTCAGAATTCTAAGCGTTATTTATATACGGTTATCCAGGGTGGTATATACATTATACTGGGCCCAGGTGAGATACATTATTCAGCATTCAATCAATGGCATGTTAATCACGTCTACCTATCAATGAAATGATTAACAATACAATCGATCTCTATCGTGACTAGTTATTCTCGTCTACAAAGCTTCCTTCACTACGAGTAAACAATTACCTGTCCTGACGAGTTCTCATTTGACAGTTTAGTCAAATGGTGATCACATCATTTATCGACATTTTAACGGTATTTGAAGTGCTAAATTGGCCACAGTTACTGTGCGATTATGGAGAAAAAATCAGGGAGAAAGAAAAAGACGTCCATGCTGCGATGGGAATTGGATGTCTCTCCACTGATTTCAACGAAAAGCTGGCTAAAAAATTATGGACTAAAGAAAAACAAGTTGAATATGTACCATATTTTACCTACTATTGGATTTAAACTGAGTGATGATTATGACACTACATTAAAGAGGCCAGTGGCATCACGTTATGGCAGTTCATTGTTTCAAAGAGCCTTCCGCAAAGATGGACATACATATAATCTTAAATGTTCCAAAGAAAAGCTCATACAAATTCAAAATCGTTTGAAACAGGTTTTGCGGTTGTTTGAGAGGCGGTTGTCATGGCTGACTTCTGAGAGCAGACGAACTTTTGGAGTAATTGAAGAAAAGTGTGTTACGGTTGTTTTGGACATCAAAAACTTGTCACCTCAACAATTCAATCAATTTATCGGTGCATTTCAAATGGTTTTAGAGGAACAGATATCCCGCATTAGTAAATTTAACTTGATTCGTTCAGCTGATAATATGAAACTATTTAAGGAATCATGTGTACCGGTAACACACGATACAATCTATGAAGCTATTGAATGGATTAAAAGTTTTGATAGACTTGAACCAATATCATCCACTGCCCCATGTGAAGCTGTTGTTCAGGCTCTCAAAGATACTAGTAATGAAGCTGTATACATTCTAACGGAAGGTACGTCAATTGATGCTTGTCGAGGAGTATTTATAGAACAGCTAACTAATTCGCACCCATGTATCCCCGTCAATGTGGTATCTTATAACTGTGACAATCTAGACACAATACAGTATCTTAGGAGACTTGCAGAATGTACAAATGGGAGATTCCATGCCTATGCTGTAACAATGGAAATGGTGACCTATGATGATGATGCTCCTCAGAACGGATCCAATGGGGATTCCCAAGTGCTTCTTAAACGTAACATGTATGGCGGAATGCCAGAAGGCGCCGGCATCAGAGAAGATGTCTTGCTTCTTTTTGAAGAGTTTGAAGAAGCTAGAAACACCAATCAGTTTATTGAAGACCTTATAAAGGAAGGAGATTGGGATCCCCCAAAGAAAAAGGACGAGGATCCAAAGAAAGCAGCAAGAAAACTTGCCAGAATGATCCAAAGAAAAGAATCCTCTATGGGCTCTGCTGAATGGCTAAAAAGGTATGGTCTTGAAGCTAATAAACTCGAATTTCATGATGCTTTAGCCAAAGTAACATTTGATCATGTCGAGGGTGTGACTAACAGTTTCAATGCTCCCGAGGGTCAGGATAAAAAGTTAGTTGATGCCATATATTGTGAGACACTGTTTCCAGCAGTAAGATGGACAGATGGTACCATTAAGCACGTGATTGTGACCCAAGACATCCATCGCACTTACGAACAAAGGATAACCATAGCTCTGAACAGAATACAAGAAAGAATAAAGTGGCTGACAAAGGGAAGTCGAGCACTGTTTGGGACTATTATAGAGGACAATATCTACATTTTAATAGATTGTTCCAAATCTATGGAAGAAAATATAAAATTTGTGAAAGAGAAAGTTCAGGGCCTGATTCAAGAACAATTGCGACACAAGAAATCCATAAATATTGTTAGCTTTGGTACAACAGTAGAAACTTGGAGTTCTCGTCTGGTAGACATCACACCACAATCACTTCACAGCGCCCAATCGTGGATAAATGCTCTCTCCTGCACTGGATCAACCAATACATATGGAGCCATCAAGTATGCTCTCTCTGACTCGAGAACTGATGGTATTTACCTACTCACTGATGGTTGTCCTGATCAACCTCCCAAATCTATCATAGCCCAAGTCTTAATGCAGAACCGATTGCCAATCCATACTATAGCTTTCAACTGTAACAATACAGATGCTAACAACTTTCTGTACGAGTTAGCATGTGCTACTGGAGGACGTTTCCATCACTTTTCAGAGTACTATATAGATGATAGTCAACCTCAACCTTGGGTAAGCGAGGACTACAAACTTTTAAAACAAGAATATGATAGAGGGGTAGAAAATTTGAAGAAGATAGCGAAACTTCGCGATGAGTGTCAAGCAGTGTATTGGAACAATGCTATTCAAGAACTAAGGAACAGGCCAACTAGGAATCCTCGTGACCGTAATTGTGTCCACAATTCAAGATTGAGTCAATCGTCCTCAATCAAAAATACTTTTCCATTTAAAACATTGCCAAGGCCAAAAAGTGCTCCGCCGCCCAAAATAAAACATGATCCAACACCACCCACTGCTTCAAAATCTAGGAAGAGGAGAAGAACGAAAACTGGTAAATCAAGGAAGGGACTTAACTGTAGTTCTAAAGCAGACACTATATCATCTGACGCATCAGCATCAGTAAATGTTTCAGATTCAACGAGTGTTGAGGACTCTACTAAAGCCGAAACGCTTATCAATCAACCCAATGGAGATATAGGTCTTCAATCTAATGGTGTATCAGGACTCGAGCTTGATTCAAAGGATTTTAGTGTTGATAGACTAAACATTCAAGATTGTAATGATACAGCTCAAACTGTGGAAACTGTTCAGTGATATTAAAACTAATGTATAATGTTTATGAATTTGTTCTGTGTTATTTTGGGGATTTTAAAGTATATAAGGCTTATTTCACATGCATTGGTTTTCCCTATATTATCTTGCCCAAGGTTTGGGCACTTTTAACTCGTGCAGTTAATGTTCCTCTCGCATTATTCTGCAAAATCTCCTCAAATCATTGTTTTAGCCTTTTTCCAGTCAAATCAGTTATTCCCTTGTCCCATTGCCAAATTTAAGCTTGTGAAGTTTATTCCAATGTTTGACCTTAAGTCAATAGATAAATTACAAGTTTTTCGAAATATTTTTTGCTAAAACTGTCTCATTTGTAATATCTGTGATATTTGTTAATTAGTTTGTGATAAAACTTTTATTATAATTATTTTGTAAATTTACTATTTTGTATATATATTTGTAAATAGCCAAATAGTTAATATTGTACAGTAAGTACGGTAATGTACTAAACCAAAATCAAGACAGGAGGCTCCTCTGACTCCTTAGATACCAGTTTCTATTGTTATATTTTCAAATTTAATCTTAGATGGAATTAATGCTATTACAAATACATCCTTAATTTACAAAAAAGCACATTTCCTCGCTTAAAGATCAATATTTATTATATACAACTGCCACTTGTAACTTTCTAACATTTCTGATTTATTTCTAGAATTGTTTTATTAATAGATACAAATCAATGTTAATAGTGTAATATTTACTGTTACTATGACAACATAATACTTATAATTACTATTGTTTAATAATTATTCTAGATTCATTAATAATCGGTCTATAAACTTTCATGTTATTGTATTATCCTAGAGCAAGCTTATGAGTTTTCTCATAGAGATTCTCTCAATTTATGCCTGCATCTGATCTAGAGACACTTTCAGATATGAAATGAAAAATATATTTTTTACCCAATTTAGAGACAAGACAGATACATTAGTCAACTGTCTTTTTATTTGTCGGCTTATTTTTGAGCTGGAAGTTCCTGAAACATCCAGGAATCCAGGAATCCAGACATCAATGTTAATGAGCCCTGTCCATGATCAAAATTTCAATGACAACTCAATCAAGAAGTGTAGGAATGATGTGATTGTTAAAACAGTTCAAAAACAGATATAAACTAAGCTGACATACATGTATTGATTAATAGCAGTGGTAAAGAGATTATTCTACATAAAATACTAAGTAAATATTACATAAATCACCAGTTTATCTATCTAGTTAGTAATTGAATCATGTATTATCTATTGTAAGATAAGAGTATATTTATTAAAGCCCTACCTACCTAGTATTATATTAAAGTAGCAATACCTAAGTCTTGTTACATGGTGTAGATTAAGTTATTTAGTAAGATTTTAAGTTATGTCAATGTCTGGTTTATGTAAATACATGCACAAATTGGATTATTGCTTAAAACAAAAGAAGATATGAAAAAGTCATTGTTTGATAACTTTCGAGCAAAATGTTTGCAATGAAAGTTTCAATGAATCTTCCTTTGAAAAGCAAACAGGGTATGATACTTTAAGTTTCACAATCTCAAACAGTGTAAATGACAGAAAAAGATCCTTCACATTATAATTTCAACAGAAAGTATGAATATCTGATAAATTTCCTTTAAATGTCAATGATTTTTGTTATGTCATGTTATAATTATTGTCCTTTTGCCTTCAAGTTTAATTGTTGTTATAACAGGTCTGAATTTTGTCCTAACTATTTCTGATAATGCATCTGCAGAGAGCAAGTTGCTTCTAACAATTTTTGCAAATATACACCAATATGGAAATGATATCAAAGATTTAATGTTATAACCTTGCTGTGATAATATTGCAATTGTGCAGCTAAAATTAGACATAATGAGTAGCTTAGCTTATAAGTTCTATTGTAATTTATAAATCTTTATATTAAATAAACCCCTGCATTTAATTAAACAAAATGTTTTTATCTGTATTTAACTTATAATATTACCTGACAACTTCCTAGAGCTCATAAAATGTCACCTTGAAATATTGGACTTTGTATGTAATGTAATGCTTAGAATAAACACAAAACATGGTTTAACTTTTAGTCTATGTACACAGTGTTTCCTATGTTACAAGAGCAAAAGAGTATGCTAAATTATTTTAATGATGGTAGAAATTGGAATTAAACACTGCTCTTGAAAATACAGGTGTTTAGCAATAGATTATTTATGTGGAAATACTAAACAAAACCAGTGAAATCATAGTTATTGATCATTAATGAAATCTTAAAGAGACAGGTGTTCCATTTTGGGGGTTGATTTTACTCTTGAATATATGTAAATAGTCTTTGGAAGTACTAGAAATGTGTGTTAATCACATAATTCCTTTCAAATACTTCAAACTAGGAATTTCAATTACTATTTCTGTATTTGATTTTTCTATATATCACAGAGTATCTTAAATTGAGGAGTCGTCATTATTACCGATTGGCTTAACTAAAAATTTCTGTTTCTGAGAATAAAGTATGATTGGTAAAATATGGCCTACCTATCCCTTTAATTTGATACCATTCAGGCTATCAGGCTCTCCAATTTTAAATGATCAATATTATTTTTCCCCATGTCAGATTAAAGTATAAATCGTGTCAGGAATCATATTCATGTTAACTAAGCAGTTGAAATATATATCATATTACTCTAATTTTAATATTTAAGGGGTGTAGGAAAGGTATGTGATGTGTAAAAATAAGAAATATACTCAGCTAAAATAGGAGAAAGAAGAGCCGAAATTAACATAAAATACAAAGCCAACAAAAAGATACAAATAAAACATTAAGTAACTCAACAATGATAATGTCAATGCAATTAGTAACCACTGGAAGCTTTTGCATTATTTTACTTAATATATGCAAGTAAAGGCAATTCTACAATATTTTATGCAATAGTTTTCAAAGAATTTGATGAGAAGCCATGTTCATTTGTCAATTTGTTGAGGCACATCCGCTCTGTTGGCTACAAACATACTACTAAAAGTAAGAAAAAGAAGAGACCAAAGCATGATAGAAACCAAATGAAATGTTTTTAAAATCAGTTAACTACCTCATGCATTAGCTGATGTAATTTCTTCTAACTGAAAACAAAGGGACATAAATCTTATTAACAACATAATATCTTATTGTAAATAGGGCAATACAAAACAAATTTTCTAATACAAAAGTTCCAGTTTCATGACAAACTAATAAAAAAAAACTTAAGGAAAAAAAATTACATCATTTAGCAAAAAATTTAAAATCCTAGGTTCACACAGAATGCTTGTAATTGTATATGTGGGGCTACATTAGGAAACAAGTTAAATTGGTGATTGTACAGAATAAGGTTAATTTTTTCTATGCAATTGATCTGTTTAGAACGCAGGATGCCTTTCTCTTCATTCTTAAGTTAATTATACAGTTCTGTGTTTCATCAAAGGGAAAATCAAACATGAAATATTTTCGCTATGAATCTGCAAAGTAGATCCATATTATGTCCCATAACATTATCATATCAAATAATGTACAATAATAAAATATTTTCACTGTCAGATATTGTATTCAGTTATTGACGTAAAATGATTGAGATTATTCCAACCCATTCCTCAAAACACTATCATTGTCTAAATTGACATTTTTAAATTTCCCATAAGTTACTTCAATGGTCTTTTTATAAATTCCTTTAAAATTCATATAATTTATTTACAAAAAATAATATAAATAAACAAAATAAATAGAAATATAAAGAAATAAATACAAACTAAATTTTAAAAATAACTAAACTAATTTTGAATTTAAAAGAGGATCAATACTGAGTAGAAATTGATACATTTATAAAGCAAATACTATGCAACATAGGGTACAGATGTTGGCATGCAAAAATTAACAACAAAAAATTGTATTTGTATCTGTTTGGGACCATGGCCATGCATAATAATAAATTGATATAAAAGGTCTGTTCAAAGCCTTAGTTCCTATCTGAACTTTTGCGTTTTTTGGCATAAATCCACAAATTTTCACCAAAGGTGCTGAATCTTACAAGAATGGATTTAAGAGTCAAATGTTCAACATTAAAAAGCAAATTAAATATAATTAACAAGACAGAATATTTGATTGTTCACAAAGCCAACCTAGAGTACATGCTTCTACACTCACCGAATACAGAAAGTATATATAATTTACTAAATAGACAGAAAAAATTTATATATAGAGTACAAGTTAAAAGAGGTAGAGGTACTGTTCCA